GCAATTAAGGGGCTTTCGTCTGGGCCTTGCCATTTTCGTTTTAACTTTTGACGTCTACGTACGTCATCTTCTTGTCGAGCCTTTAGCATTGCTGATTGATCTAGAGGGATTTTTAGTTTTCTTATATCCCTTCTTTTTAATTCCCTTTCTTTTTGTTTTTTCCTAATATTTTCCAGACGTTGATCATCTTTTATTCTTCTTAATTCTGCTTTTTTCCGCTCCAACTCATCAATTTTCTTTCTTTTACCTTCTTCGATATTAATAGATTGCGACCTTTTTGTACCTTGGGGATTTGGCGGTGGTGGTACATATGTAACCTCTTTATAGTATTGCGGGGTGTAAAGTATCTTTTGCTCCCTGATAGCCTTTTTCCTTTCTAGATATTGTCTTTTCTTTTCCCTTTTTCTATAGTCCTCCCCATCTTCAACGTTTTCTTTTTTAATAGGTTTAGTTCCATAACTTTCATCTATTAAATGTCTTCTTTTGTCCGTTCCAATCTCTTCGACTTGCTTTCTTTTAGAAGGTTTGTAATAGTTAGGAATAGTTGGTTTTTTAGTTTTAGGTTTCAATGTAATTGTTGGTTTAATGTCAGGTAGGATAGGCGGTATAATATTATAAGATGGCGTTTCTTTTGGATATGAACTAAATGACATATCTTCACTCATCCACATATTATCGTCGTCTTCCCCAATATTTGAAGCTGGAAGAGAAGCGGTAGTATTCATAATTGCACCTTTTGGACTAGCAACCATCTCTACCTTAACTGGTCTATTTTGGTGTTCGTTTCAAAATGCAAATATCGTCTAAGTTCTTGATTATAGTGCACATTTTTTGCACTAGGTGTTTCTCTTTTCAATTTTGTTTTCTCAAGACCTTGACGTACAAAATCCAAGTTTGGTTCACCTGTATCATAGGTTGTTAAACCCTTGTAAATTTCTTCTGGAACTAAAATAAATTTATTTGCCATAATTAATTTTAAATTAAGATGTAGCAGGGGCTTTTATAGTCATCATCCTTGCCATTTCGATGAGCACAGGTGTCAAAAGAGCTGCAAAAACTCCTACTCCGTCGCCTTTTTGATTAATAACATGTCTGGCGCCGCGTTCACTCCTAACCCTACTCATACTTCGCACAAATTCAGCATGAGGTAACAATCTTTTCTTTTGGCGAGTTGTAAGTTTGAACCCCTCTTTTACTATGTTCAAACAAATTTCAGCTAAAGCTAAAAGTTGTTCATTATTTGATAATTTTAAAAGTCTTTTCCTTTTTCTTTTAGATTTAGTCTTTGACAATAAATGTAAAAATTTTAAGTTTTCATGAATTAATTGATTAACCATTTCCGTTTATAGGAATAAAAATTATCTTTTCATCGTCTTCCTTAAATATGTTGCTCCTAAGACGGAGGGTAGGATCAGAAGAAGCATGCATATCGACGAGTAAGTAACCAAAAGGTTGTTTGGTTGCCTGTCGATAGGAATCAAGAAAATAATCCAATTGTTTGGGAAATAATTGTACACCTATGTTTCTGATAGATAGCATTGAATTTGGTGATCTCATCAACACAAGATATTGAGAATTTTGTCGTGCTACTTTAATTTTCTTATCGAATAAATTTTGTGTGACAAAAATTACAGAAAAATTTTGATGGTGTGATTTTTTGGTAAACAATTCAGATAGATATTTTTCATCAATAGAAAGATTCAAATCATCGAGAATTAGTAATAGAGGCTTGGTGTATTTTTTAATTAGGTCTTCAGGTGGAACTCCTGAATATACATCAACTCCAGATTTTTGCAAAAGAGGTACAATATTGTTCATCTCACCAAAGCAATAAAGTATGGACTTTGGTTTAGGCTCAATTAGGTCTGAAGCTTCAGAAATAAATTTTAATAACAGTGTACTCTTTCCACTGGAACTGGGACCAGATATAATCATTCCAAAAGGTAATTTAAATTTTAAATCTTTATTCGAGAAAGCTAAGGAATTCATAATGAATTAATTTATGAATATAAAAAATTTTCACTTAAATATCATTTTAATCGGTTGGTATTCCTGTTACCGATGCATCTAAACTCTGAAAGAATTCATCCAAATCCTCTTTTGAAGGAAGTGTATCCAAGGGTTGGGGTGTTTGTGTCACTTCTTCAGGAATTGTGGGGAGAATTTGTGGTGGTTCAGTTTTGGGACAAGGAATCTCTGTAGAAGCATTGTAGGGTACATTAAAAACTCGACCTTTATTCTTTACTTTGAAGAAGCAATGCCCTGGTAAATCATATAATAAATCAAAAGGAACAAATCTACTTCCTTCAAATCGTGTGCAATAGACTACAACTCCTTCCTTTACTATTATAAAATCTAGTTCAACTTCCGTGCTCTTACACTTACGGCACTTCCCTCCTTGGTCATAAGGAAGAAAACGGGGTGTTGTATAACGGACACTGGAAATTGTAATCCCAGTCGATGAAATGTTAAATTCAACCTCAGGTAATAATTTTGGGTACTTCATTTTTAAATTAATTTCTCGGCCTTATGTCTCCGTTTATACAAACTTAGAAATATTAGATGTGATGTAAAATAATTTATCTATACAAAGCTGAACAAGTACGGTATAAACCACCACTTTGAATATATTAGATAATTAAAACTTGTAGAGTAATTTAATACATGAGGGGATGTTGCAATAGTTCGATTCAGGTTGAAGTCTAATTGTAAACTATCATTGTATCTCTTTATACCATAGTGGCGAAATGGTGTTAACCTATAAAATTCAAAGTCTTCCGCATTTGCCCTGGATGCTTTTAATAGGTGTATTGGGCACTCACACCTTCCTGGTATAGGTCCTGTAATGTTATAGGGTAGATTCAATAAGTATTTTGGGCATCTACAGGGTTCTTGTTTCCACATATCCTGCCATCTGGGATCATCTACTAGAGATAGGTTTGAAGAATAAGAAAGGGGAAATAATAAAAATAATATGAACATTTTGATTAAAGATTACGTGAAATTTGTGTCTTTTATACCATTTCCTTCCAAAATCTCCTGAGAATGATATCTTACGACTCAGCTCGTTGAGCCGATCAGAAAAAGTACCTATATGCCTATACTTGGAAAAATTAATGTTTCAAAGGTCTAGAACTCGAGTTTTGAGCTCGATTTTAGATTGAAACCACTTTGGCACGAATTATCTCATCAAACTGATCGAAATGTCAGAAATGACATATGTCAACTGACATATGTCAAAATGTCAACTTGACAACTTTCGGTATGTCAATTTTCCCAGAGAGTTTGTGGGAAGAGAGGAATACTCTGGCGAAGTGTTTTTATAATTATTTTAAAAAGTACCGGTTCAAAAGTACCTCCTGAACCCTTGGGGAACTTTGGAAATGGTGTAAGAAATATGGGAAAGGTTTTTCTAGTTATTTAAATTTTTTACCCCTTAAACCGGTTTGATCAAAGTACTCCAAACCTTTTGAGCATCTTTAAACCTTTAGGTTAACTTTAACCAACATTGGTGTTGGTTTAACTACTTTTTTAAAATTTACCCCTTTTTCCTTTTCTAACAATAATTTTGCAACTTTATTTGCAAATGACCGATTTTGGGTAATTATTTCTATTTTTCCAAATTTTTCCAAAAATAATTATTGCATGACTGATTTTGAGGTTATTATTCTATTTTTAATAATTATTGTATTTTGCAAAAAATAAGGGTAAAAGTGAATAAAAGAGAGAGAAAATAGAGGATGAGGAGAGAATTGGAAAGGTTTTATTTAAACATGTAATCTTGTGAAATATGAGAAATGCTTCTTTGAACAGGTTAAACCGTTTAAAACCACTTCTTAAAACATTGACCTTTTAGAAACGTTTTGGTTAGGTAATATTATGAAAAATAAGGGGAAAGGTTTGGTAAGGTATTTTCAATAAAAAGTTCAAAATTAAACCGGTTTGATCAGATTACCCTTAAACCCTTTGGAAACTCCTTGGACTCTGACGACGGAGTAATTCTGACTATAATTGACCGTTTAATTAGTGGGAGGGGCTAAATGGATGGACCCCGCTGCCCCTGACGACTTATACGACGGGTTAACTACTTACATTTTCAACTTTTAGAAGAAATTTTTTTGAGGTCTGTAAAAAATATATGTGATTCTCCTCTAGATTCTACATATAATACAAAAAAATCATCCAAATCGGTCGAGATTCGACCGAGTTATGATTTTTTGAAAATCGAAAAAATACCATATTTTTGCCATTTTTCGTCAAAAAATCGCGTTTTTTCGATTTTCAAAAAATCATATCTCCGTTCCGGAAAAAGATATTTCTAAGCGGTTTTGTGGTAAATACTCACGAAAATATGCTTTATCAAATGGGTTTGTTAAATTTTTTCCGAAAAATTTTTCCGAGGATATGGGATTTGGTATATCCGGTAGATCCGAATATGCTCGGCCAATTTTCATTTTCATGGAAAATGCAGAAACATGTCAACTGAGATACGAATAGAGCTTTCGATTGGTATATAGAACGTATTTTTTGAATAAAAAATTAAGAATTTAAAAAACTTTTTCTAGCGCTTCCATACTTTTTTCCACGACTGTATGTATTAATAATTTTTTAATTAATAATTAAGCGAAAAAATTTTCAAGAAAAAAATTCAATGCTTTTTTAAATTTAAAAGTTGGATTGAATTTTGTAACATTTTCTCTATATATAAAATTATTCTTATTAATAAATTATTTTTGTGAAAAATATAAAATAAAAATTGTTGTTTTATTTACACAAATGTCTTTAATAGATAAGAAAATAAAAGGAATTTTATTTATTTGTGATGAAAGATTAATAATAAATAATCCCTTTTATCCTTTTCCAAAGAAGGAACAGTTAGTAGAAGATTAAAAACAAAAACTTTACTTGCAATAAACATTCAAAAAACAATTTAATATTTAAAATTAAAAAAAAGTCATTCCATTCTCTTAAAACTATTAAAAATAACTGGGAAACAATTTCTATGGAGTAATCCGTTTAGGGTCACGTGGAAATAACGAAGCAAGTCGAATATTGCCTAAACCAAGGAAAAGCATTGTTACACGTTCCAAACCTTTTTTTAAATAAAAAATTCTTTTAATTTTTAAATTTCTTTACCAATTCCACCACCAGCATGTGGAGGACATCCATATTTAAATGCATCGATATAAGCACGAATCTTTTCCAAATCAATATTATGTATTTTTGCACGTTCAGTGAGTAATATTGGATCATGAACACGTTGGGCACCAGAAAGAATTTCTTCTCCTATAAAAAAGTAGGGAATTAGGGCTTAAATTAAATAAAAATTGAAGTAAAAATAAAAGTGAGTAATTAAAAAATGAATACAAATAATCAAAATAGAAATTTTTTTATTAAAATTTACCCCTCATAAACATATCATAACTATTTGAATAACGTTCATCCAAAGGATCAGGCATTGTATAAAATGGTCTAACAGCAAGTGGGAATTTGTCAAGAACATAAAAGTCAGTGGAATAACGTTCACGGACTAAACGGCCGAGAAGTTTTTCGTTTGGAGTACTCAAATCCTTTAAAAAATAAAAATTTTTAGAAAAAAATTGTTGATATTTGGTTGTGAATAAATTAAAAACCCCGCCGATTTTCAAGTCATATCATTAATTCCCAAGACTTTAATTTCATTGTCAATCTGACCCGTTATTTTTCACAAAATAGCAGGGTAACTGAGAGAAAGAGAGTGGGGGCGAACACCGCAGCTCATTCTTCAACTTGAAATTCTACTCTGGTTACGAACTTAAAAGATCCCTCAACTAGACAAATCCCATTTAAGATCAACACAATTTTAATTAAAAAAATAACCTCCTCATCTCCTTGTTCAACACCAGCCTCTCTAAGCATTGAAACAGCTTGTGAATATATAAAAAAATAATTTAAAAATATTTTTATGTAATTAAAAAATTACTGAATTATTAAAGGTTTTTCAGTAAAAATAAACGGCTCGCTTGGATATTGTTTACGAACAGCTTCAATTTCTGGTTGAAAATTTTTTTGAAGATGTGCAAATATTTCACACATTAATTCTGCAACTGTAAGCATTGCCTTAAAAAAGAATAAAAAAATTTTTTTACCCTCAAAAAATTTCAAAGAAATATAATTAAAAATAACCTCATGATAATGAAATTTAAAAGCCATTTCCAAATCTAAACCAACAAATTCAGTCATATGCCTGTGTGTATTACTATCCTCAGCTCTAAAAACAGCCCCGATTGTATAAACTTTATCAAAATCTGCGGCAATAGCCATTTGTTTGTAAAGTTGTGGTGATTGGGCTAAATAAGCAGAACCTTTAAAGTAGCTAACCTTGAAAAAGAGAGAAAGAATCCGTAACGAAAATAAATTTAAGAAAACCTCAAAAACATTAGCTCCCCCCTCACTAGCAGCTGAAATTATTTTTGGAGTATGTATTTCAATAAATCCTCTTTTGTTAAGATTTGAACGAAATGCTTCACAAATAGCAGCTTGAAGTTTAAATATAGCCTGACTAGTTGGTGTACGTAAATCAAGAACTCTAAAAAAGTTGAGGAAAGGATTATTTTAAAATTAAAGAATACTGAAAATATAAGAAAACTATAATTATGCTAACCCGTTTTTCAGGGAGTTAGTCGGCGTTGGGCCCCAATAGTGGTAACCCACCCTTGGGGCGCGCCGATCCACCAATTAAAAGGAAAGCTTTCTTTTTAACTTTTTATTTAACAGATATATTAATAAAATATAAGGGAGGAAGAACCGGCCAACTTTTGGGTCGGTTGTAAAACTTGAGATTGACTGAACATTTTGGCCCTTCGTTCTCGCCTTTTATGGGGCATTCAAAATGGGCGTTAAATAATTTTTTCTTAACTATGACAAAAACATCTTTGACTTTTATAAACTAATTAATTTTATTTATTTAATACATAAAAACGAAAGTCCTACCGTTTAAGGAGGCCGCAGTTCTCTGACCATTATGAGACTTCTCTACTCCTTAACTAACATTTATTTTTCACAAATATAATGTGGGTCAACTGAAATTTGGTGCCAAAATTATAGTCAGAGAAAAGCGGCCCCCTAAGACTACAGGAGTACCCAGAAAACTTTTTCAGAAACAAACCTATTATCCAATCTAGTATCCAATTTAACAACAGCCAACCCCCCTGTTTCTTCTCCAATATCAGGTCTAGTAGCATCTTCCATTTGTAAAGGCAATCTCGGCTCAGAAGCAGAAACAATAAATAATTTTTGAATTTTAATTTCAACATCGCTTTGAGTACAACTTGAAACAGGTGAAGGCGTTTTTGTAATTTGACCAAAAACGTCAACTAATGATTCCTGCAAAATTAATTTTATAAAAATAAATGAAGAAGACGAGTCAGAAATGTTAAAATTTTATACCCAAAAGTTAATAAGAAGAAAAGTTGAGAATAATTAGGGATACCAAAGGCGTATCCAGATGTCGAATTAGGAGGGGGACTAACATGGGGTGTGCGCAAAAATTTGACGTTTACCCTGGCGTTCCGAAAGCAAATTTTTTTGGACCATATTTTTATTTTTTTCAGCGCAGCAGGCGAAAATTTTTTGAATTTTAAAGGTTGTAGGCGAAAAAATCTCATTTTTTCTACCATACTTCTTCCAAATTTTCTCCAATTTCTAGCCCCCTGGATACGCCCTGAGGGATACTTTAAAATTAAATTATAAACTAGCCCTTAAAGTTTCCACACACTTTTAACAAATTTTTGGGTTTAAATATTCTTGAAAATATTAATTAATAATTTAAAAAATACTTTTGAAATATTCTGAGCAAATTTAACAAATTCTTTAGTAATTTCTCCCCCAACAAATAAAACCCCTTGAACACTATAAATACGTTGACGTAAACAAATAAAACAATTTTTGCCTTTTCCTCTACTATCGTGAATACGAGCTCTGAGCCAAATCTTTAAAAAATAAATTATTTGATTGAATTTTAATAATTTTTGAAAAAAATTCAGAAAAAAATTTTTAAAGAAAAAATTCCAAAAAAAACCTCTTTTCCATCCAATTCTGCCCCAATATCTTGTATATTAATAAATTTAATGTCTTCATGTTTTTCTTTTGATTGCATAATCGGATAATTACCAAAAGAAGGATTTTGTTGAGTTGAAGAAGAAGACATTTTTAAATTCTAAAAGAAAATAAAATTAAAAGAAAAAATTGCAATATTACATCATTAAAAAAATAAAAAAAAAGAAAATAATTCCCTAAATTTAATGCGGTTAAGGACGATTCAGTATCGCCGATTCAGTATAGCCGATTCAGTATCGCCGATTCAGTATATGGCCATAACTTTCCTGATATTCGACCGATTCGAATAATTCTCATATCATTCGAAAGGTCTCGAGATTCGACATCTTTTTCATAATTGGCCCGATTTGATCTGATGATCGCAAAAAAAGTTACAGCGTGAAAACCGATTTTTTATGCCTGTGACATCGTTTATCTGTGATAACTTTTTGTAGAGTGATCAGATCAAATCAGTCCAATTATGAAAAAGATGCAGCACCCCGAGGCCTATCAAATCATATATAATAATCCCAACAATATTGATCGAGCATAAAGTTATGGCCAAAAAGCCCAAATACTGAATCGGCCAATACTGAATCGGCGATACTGAATTGGCGATACTGAATCGGCGATACTGAATCGTCCCCTACCCAATTTAATGGGACACGCCCAAGTAGACGCGCGGCCATAAGGTCGCCGAGCCATAACTTGCTTCAAAATTTCTGGGTACAGCCCGATTAGGCGCGGGCCGATTAGGCGCGACCGATTAGGCGCGACCGATTAGGCGCCGGCCGATTAGGCGCGCGGCCAATTAGGCGCCGGCCGATTAGGCGCCAAGCTTTTAATTAAATAGGCTGTAGTGTAGTGTACCGGTGGTAAAAGTTCGGGACGTGACATATGTCATTCGATTCGTCTCGACGAGCTGAGTCGAACGGTACCACTCCCTATTTTAGGAAATAATTCTGGACCGAGTTATAGGTCCCGAAAAATCGAAAAACCAAAGGGGGGACCAAGCACTTTTTTGGGGGTGAAAAATTCGAATATGCAAATTATACCTCATTCGAAAGAGCTCGTCGAGCTGAGTCGAATGACACCAAAATCAACAAAATCCGACTTGATTTGATAAAATTATGACCGTTTGTTTTAGCTCCTTACCTATGGCATCTGTGGAGATTTTTGCTGCTACGGAGGCCCCAAATACGTCCAGAGCAAGAGAGATAGGAATAGGTTTATGTTACGAGCCCAGACCCAGCGCCCGTAGACTCCCCGCGAGGCGCGTGCCGCAAGACCCCGCGCGAAGCGCGGGGTCTTGCACAAGCGCCTCGCCGACGACCCATAGGTTTATGTTGGTAGTTTTTCTATCGTAACTTTGTCAAAACTTGTGCAATCAAGATGGTTTTGGTGTCATTCGACTCAGCTCGACGAGCTCTTTCGAATGAGGTATAATATGCATATTCGAATTTTTTACCCCAAAATTGAGCCTACTCCCCCCTATGGTTTTTCGATTTTCAGGGACCTATAACTCGGTCCAGAATCATTTCCTAAAATAGGGAGTGGTACCGTTCGACTCAGCTCGTCGAGATGAATCGAATGACATATGTCACGTCCCGAACTTTTACCACCGGTACACTACACTATATCCATTAAATATTCTGATTATAGTCAATTAGAATGGTCCCATCGACCATCAAATGGAACCATTCTGAATTATAAAACAAAAAATTTTCCAAAATTAAAAAACCGGCCTAACTACAGTTTACGTACCAGACTCAAAATTGGACAATTTATATGTCATTCGAACGGGCTCGACGAGCTGAGTTGAATGACACCAAAATCAGCTCGATGGGATGATTGTAAGGTATATCCGTTGATTGCCTAAGCAATGGTGATCTTTTGGGCGAGCATTATGCATTAATGGATTTTCCCAACCATTACACTTTAATTATTATTTATCGCTATTTCCTGTGTCACCTCCCATTCACATGCTTATGTTTATATATTGTTTATTGCTTCACCGATAAATCAGTTCCCAGTTAGTCAGTCTTTAATATGTGCCCCTAGGAAAGCACACCGGTGTGGCTTGGTAAAGGTGATAACTAGGGTCTGGCCAACCCAATGGTTATCCTTAGGGATTATAATGGTTTATATGTGCCTAGGTATATTTGGTAGAATGGACCCAGCATACTTCCACTCAATTGGTAGCACCGGATGCCGAAGTGATGCTTCGGCGATTCAAAGGCTCTTGGGCAGCAAAATGATGGAAACAGCAAGGAATATGGGCAAGAAGAAAATGAACAACAAAACAACATCGAAATGGATTGATGGAAAAATGCTCTTGGGCAGAATATGGATGTGGCACATGGAATGGAAATTTTGGCAAAAAAAGATGCACATGAATATGGCAATGCAAGTTTAAAAAAAAGGGGGGAAACTGGAACTCGCGCGCGCAAATAAAATGTTTAGGCAAATAAAAGAGAAAAGACCGACCATGCATGGCAGATAAAAAAAAAATTATTTTAGGGCAAAATTATGTAGAAAATAATAAATATAGCATAAGACCCCGGGGCAGCGGAAGTAAGGGGCAAATTAAAATAAAATATTAGTAATAATTTTAAGATGTAAGACCCGGGCATTCAATAAGGGCTTAGGCCATTTTAAGGATTATACATATATTAAAAATGCCCAGAACTATACAAATTGGTAAAAAAAGTGTTAAAAAAGTTTTATTAGAAGCCCATAAATTTAAATTTCAAGGTGAATTAAGCATTAAGAAAGTAATATATTTTCATCTTTTTTTAATTTAATTCTAATCTAGTATTTGAGAAGTTTTTTTTGCTTAGGCTACCATCAGGATTTTTTTTTCTCAATTTACGTCTTAATAGAATGCTCTTTATTTTTTTAAATAAAAGCCTAACAATGTAAGGAAATATCTTTCAAAAAAAATTAAAGATAAGATATTTTTAGTAACATTAATTTAGAAATGGGACCTATCTAAACTACTTCATAGGAATTCGTAATTGAATCTATTACATAGATAAATTTTCTTAATTTTATCCGTTTCAACCCATATCCTAAAACTTTAAATGAACAATAATTTCAATACATATTTACTCTATATTCGCCTTTATTTTTCTACATAGTTTTATAGATTTTATTCCTCTTCTTTTAAAATTTACAATTTATGCTAACGGGGGAAAATTAGATACTTTGATATTAGAAAATCTGATATTTCCTTTTGGGATAAAACGGAAAAAATGATATTTTGGGATAGAGTATATTTATTAGTAAATAAATGTCTAGTTAAAATTTATATTTTGGGAGTACATGTAGAACCAAATTCTTTCGGGAAATTCAAGGATTCAAACTATCTTTCTTTATCACGTCTGTTTTCGAAGTCTTAATCTAGCTATTTCCTAAAATCCAAAATTTTAGTCAAAATAGGTGATGTTGTGGCTTAAGTTGATAATTATTAAAATATAGTTTGTGAATATAAGACCCTGGAGCGTAAAAATAAACAAATTATATATAATGAATAGATAAAATTTAAATTTTTTTTTGGGGAGTACAACGTAAAACCAGGGTAACTTCCTTTGGGAAATAAAAGGATTTATAATTAATTTTTTTTTCTTCTCTATTTTTCTTCTATACTTAAAGTCTAAAATTCGGAGAGTATTGTTGGCCTTCGGGATTACAAAGGATACTTTTACAAAATAGGTGATCTTCTGGTATAATGAACATTTATTATTAATATAAATCTCTCTATTATTAAACTTTGTCCTTTATCCTCTTCTATATTTTTTTTTCAATTAAAAAAATTTTTTTTTCTCCCAAACATTCATCAGCATTTTAAAAATACATTAGACTTTCTGCCTTTATTGGAAGTGCATTAACAATATAGTGTGATAATATCTTGAAGTCCTTTTTTCCTTTCTCATTTTTCCTTCACTAATTTACAATAATTTTTCTCCCGCCGCAACTCCTCTATCTTCACAAACTTTATACTTTCGAATATTTTAAAGTACATTTTTTTAAACAAAATCTTTTTGTTTTATTTTTATTAAATTCTTATTAATGTTTTTATTAATAATGTTTTGAATATTTTAATTCTTAGTAATCAAATTAAAAATGTATTTCTATTATTTGGAACTCAAAAAAATCTAAAACTTAAAATTCTAAAATTTCTTAATTGCCTTGGCTATCATCAGTGTTCAAATTAAATATGGTTGATTTTTTTTGGCGTCGAATCTTCAAACAACTAAATCTACACATTTGCTTCGGCTACTATATTGGTTTAAATACTTCTAAAATTCGAATTTTCAAACAAAATTGGTGATGAATGCTAGACTGCAAAATTATTGGTGAATTTTGGATTTGAGTGTTTTAAATGTGGGTTGAAATATACGTAAAAAAAAATTATTATTTTTATTTCAAAAAATAATATGTATTTTTCCTAAACTCTAGTTCTCTTCTCTTCAAAATTTTTCTTTAAATTAATATTTTTCTCAAATTTTACAAAATTCTGAAGGTCTTATTACTATTCTGACATTTTTTGACATTTTTCTCTCATTTACAAAATCTGGTAAAACAACAATCAGCCAAAATCTCACAAAATTTCCTTTATAAACAAATAACAGAATTAGTAATCGACAAATAGAGTTGCATAACAATTAATTTTAGTTTTCCTAAAAGAGAAGGGTTACTTTGGTATATTTAAGTCTAGAAAGAAATTTTTCCTGGAAATTTGGGTTGATTATGACTAACTTGAGTAATACATTAAGCTGTTCGGAATTTTTTTATCTCTGATTCAGTGTGCTTTCAATCTGCTCTCTATATATGTATTCTAATGAATCTATTGATTGTCTTTTCAATATCAATTTACTCTAAAGAATATATTTGATTGTTTCTCCAACAGTTTAAATCCTCAAAATTTATTTTCTTTCATTTATTAATTTATTTAATTCTCATCACTTCTCCAATTTATAAAGAAAAAGAAGTGAAACATACTGTAAATTTTGTTTTTCTAAAAAAAAATCGAAAAATTTTAATTACTTAATTGGTTGTAGGAGTTTAGAAAAGGGAATTATTTATTCATATTTATAAAAAGGAGACAACAATT